GAACTGGACCGTGCATGTTCATCCACAAAGTGTGACCAGTATTAGTAACTGCTTCTTTGAACCTTAATAAATATTATAGGTGCTTTTTTTGCTATTTTGATTAATCTTGTTGCTATCCTAGGTGCTATTATTGAATTTATTTTTGTTATAATTTTAAAATTGAAAATCAATTCAATTAAATGTAAACCACGCCTTTTAATAATGGCGGCTCTGTCTGCTAAATGCATGCACTTGGCAAGGCAACTGGTTGAAGTACTGACGGGGTTTACTGTGAGTCTCTTCTTTATTTTATAATTTTTTTACATTTATTATAGCCGGATGAAGAGAATTATCAACGTAGACCTACTACCGAGTTTGTCCTCTCAAATTTCAAGTATCCGGCATCGTTTTCTGAGTGTGAATAGCAACAACACAAAGAGAAAACTTTCAGAGTAAGTGTAATAGAAGAGCAATATGCATACATATTGATGCATAATAATTTATGGATTTTTAATTAAAATTAAATCATTTCTTGAATTAATTAATTAATTTGTTAATTTCGTTAATGATAATTACATGACTACATGTATGGCATTATATTCATTATTGTATGTTTTTTGTAGTCTGGCAACAAAGTTTAGAGTTCATTCTCTTCCAGAGAGAGCTGAATGGCTTGAGAAATAAATGTGTAGATGACTTTTTAAAGCTCTCACTATTTGAATCTTTCTCAGAGGTAGACTTATAAATTATTATTATTACTATTAAGTTCTTATTCTCCCTCCCCTATTTATTATGATTCTATTATTCCTTTCTTTTGGTTCTTTACTTCTAATTCTATTAATTCCTTCTCTACATTATTCTCTACTTTTGTAGTCTGAGAATCATTATGCGATACTGTCATTCCTTCTCTGTCTCTCTCAATCTCCAACAAGTCATACTTCTTTCACTGTTCCTCAGTCTGATCCTCCTCCTCTTCCTCTGGCTCAAGATGGTCGTCCTTTTGATTGGGGGCGCTACCTAATGGAGGGCTCTTTTGAAGAATATGAATCATCTAGTGATGACAGTGAAGTTAGTATAAGGGAGATAGAGAGAAAGGAGAGTGAATGAATAAAGCACTAAAGTATATACTGTACCATAGGGTTTCCCACAAAGCATGCTAAGTGAGCTAAACAATGAGCTTCATGAACTGACAAGCACAGTACATGGGATTTAGAGCAACTTTAAAAATTCATAAAAAATCCAATTTTGATTGGAATAAGCTCAAACTTGCTACACAACATAAGAACATGTATATGTATTAGAAAAAATTATAAAAATAGAGAATTCTGTTCTAGTCATTTTTGACAAAATTTAGCCAAATACCGGAATGTGGTACTTTATTTCTTTATTTTATCTGCTGTAGTTCATTCCTTGCAGTGATGAGGATCTCCCATTATCATCACATGAACTCTCACACGACCTCAAGTCACATGATCAGTCACATGATTTGGCTATTGAGACATCAGAT